CTTGATTAGGCCTTCCTCACAATAGGAGTAGATGCGATAGGTAAGAAGAATAAATTACCGAAGAACTCAAAATTGATCGCTGCATTTAAGTATCACATTAATATTTAAAGTTACCTTTTAAAAGTTCAACGATAATTCCTCTGCCGCTACTTAATTTAAGACAAATTGGTGTACGTAAGCCCTTACTTTCCGTACAAACATTTTTTTTTTTTCATGGGTGACTTTCGCTGGATTTCGCAATTAATTTCGGTTATTCTCAAATTTATTTCCAACTTATACAAATTGTTATCGTACAAACAAATTCGTCGTAAAAAAGATGCGGTGTGTGATCGGACTTGAAAGAATTACAGCAAATTGTCCGATAGAGGTCGTAATTTTTGGTAGCAATAATCAGAGTTTCAAATTAGATTTCAAAAACGATGGAACAATTTAAAAAAAATTGTTCCATCGTTTTTGAAATCATTTTTGATTTGCTTTGTAACGTGGAGGACTTCAAGCTTGTATGAAGATATAAGAACCTATTGATCTCTGCGTATTTTTTAATATTTTAATATTTGGAAATCATCTTCGAATACGTTTTCACAACATCGCCCACGTGACGACGACATGATCATATTTAAACGGAACGCTGATCTTATATAAAAATTTCAGTTATCTGTTTGGATTAGTTGTGCTCTTATGTCCATCGTCTTTTGTGTTAAATTTTTATATGTTCTAATGTTAATTATGTTTAAATGAAAATGTCCATGAAGATGGTCTTAAATAGACCGGAACGTCCGACGTCGACTTTATATTAACATTAATACTACATAATTGATTATTAAGATTTTTGTTTGTTTTTTTCTGTATTTTTCTTCATATATATATATATATATATATATATATATAAAAGTCAAGAAAATCCTTAAAAATCCTATTTCGGTTATAATTTATTTCATGAATATATTTAAATATTCATTTCTTCAGACCGAAGGTTTTTTTTAGAAATAAAATCAATCCGTCCAGACGATAGAAAAAAAGGAAGAGAGGAAGAAAGGAAAAGGAAAAAGTTTTTAAATTAAAAAAAAAAGGAAAAAAAAGGAAGAAAGAAAAATATTCAATATAACATTTAAAAAAAAATAGGGGGAAGAAAGAAAAAGATAGAGGGTGGGAGAGAGAGGGCGAGAGTATGTGAAAGAAAGGAAAGAAGGAAGAAATAAAAGGATGACCTAGAAACATTTTTTCTTAAAATGCTGAACACGTTAATATACTGGTTAAGGGAGGGCGTGATCAGAATTAAAAGAGTTACAGTAATATGTCATGTCATTTCAGACAGCAAAACTTATCATCGCATTATAATAATCATCACAATTTTAAATTAATAATAATAATAATAATATCCAACAACACTAAAATAAAGTAAATTAAATAAAATAAATAAATTAAATAATATAAAAATAAATGAAATAATTAAATAAATAAATCAAGATGTCAATAAAGAACTAATATATATATATATATATATATATATATATATATATATATATATATAAATTGAATCAGAAATTTGATACTTAGGGATCGTAATTTACTTTCTCCATTGGGTAAAAATCATAGAATGTATTTTTTAAACTACGCCCCTTTGCAGACTTTATTTAGGCGGCTTTTAAGACCTAAAACTTTTTTGTTTTGTTTTTCACATATTGGAAAACCAAATTTTACAGATTTTTTCATAAACCGTCAGGCTTCATTTTGTCGGTATTGAACATCACATCTGAGTTTTAGATGCCCAAAGTTTTTATTCATTTTTTTATTAACTAATCGCCTGCTTTCTTTTTATAATTACTTTTAAACACTCCTCTCAAAATAAAGTGCAATAAAAATATGCTTGTTGTATCATTATTTGATTTTATAATCAGCCTTTTAATAATTTTTAGATAATCTACACATTTCTCACTATCGCGAGTTAGCAAAGAACAAGGAGGTTTGGAGAGGAATAATAAAAGATTAGATCAGTGTGATTTCTCATCTTTGTAACAAAGATGAAAAATCACGCTGATCTGCATTGAGGCTTCAAATCGAAACAGTGATGATGATGGTGATGATGATGATTGCCAAAGGCACCACCAATACCATTTGACTGAGAAAGAAAACTGAAAAATGTCACCCTCCACCCAAAGTGGAGGGCAGAAATTTGTCAACTTAGAGACTTTTTATTTAAGAAAAAAAAAAAAAAAGGCGAGACAGTTGTCAACGACGCTGTCAGCCGGCCTGTTGGGCAATTTCAAATTATACGATGTGGCAAATGTTTGACTTTAATACAATCAACGGCTAAAATTACGACATATGTGTAAATTCCAAGTAGCCAGCAGAGACTAGAGTTCGTTGGCACAAGAAAAATTTTGGGTAAAATATTTATGTCATGTGTAAATAATTCTGTTGAAATGATTTGAGTAATTTGTTCATCTCAAAGTTTACTTATATGAAAATAATGACAACACTACAGTTTTCCAGAATTGCAGATCCGGTGATGAAAGGTTCTCAGCTCAACCTCCCAAAATCTGACCAAATGACCAAACATATATTTGGGGAACCCTCCTCGTTCGGGCCAAGGTGTGTGTATGTGTGCGTGCGTGTGTGTGCGTGTGTGTAGACACAGGAATAAGCACTGCATGGTGACTGTCAGATTCATGACTCAGTGCGAATTTAAGACAGTCTGAAGATTGCACTGAGGTAAAATTGCATTGAGGCGTGAAACTCACAATCACCAGTGTTGATTCTTATGTCTTTATCAATAAACGTTTTATCAAAATATTGTTTATTCTCCCCTGATAAGTATAATAAATTTCAAACATTATATGTATATTTAAACATTGTGTATATATATATATATATATATATATATATATATATATATATATATATATATATATATATATATAAAATGAAGTCCTGACGGACGTAACGCGACACAAGTAAACTTTTTCTAGTTTGTCATACATTTTCTCAATATTGTTCATGAGATATAAAAATATATATCGTTATCTCATATATATAGGGTATATGCAGGATGCGATGGGTAAATTGTCGCCATTTTTAATTTTTAATTTCGCGCGTTGTATTTTTTTGATTTTGTCGACTGCACAGTATGTTAGGGTTAGTTGGGTACCGTTTGAAAGAAAGGGAGCACCATGGCGCAATTTGCTCCGTTAAATTCGGAGACGGCATGCTGTACTGCCCTAGATCAAAGATGGTGGCTGCTGGAAAACCTTATGTCTAGCAACAGGATGCTGCACCATGCCACACAAGCAGGAGAACCCTGTAATGGCTGTCAGATAATTTCTACGTCCACATCACCCCTTACATATGGCCACCTAACTCCCCAGACTGCACCCCCTTGATTATTAGTTGAACAAGAGACCAAGAAAACTCCTTGTAACACCAAAGTTGAATTAGATGAAGGGTTATGGCAACATTCACCAACTTAAACAATCCAGAAGAGTTGCAGGCGATTCTGAAGTCATCGGGAAGCCGTGACAAATGGCGATTTTATTGAATAAATTTACTCTTTAGTACTTCAAGATAGTTTTACGCAAGTTTGGTAAATATATCTGTTATGTCAGTGTTATTTTAATTTTTGCATAATTTAGACGACAATTTAGCAATCGCACCTTGAACATATTCACTCACCTTCCGCAAAAAAAAAAACAAAAACACGAAACCTTCTTCTCTTTCCATCCTGATCTTAACTTAAATTAAGTTCTTATATAATAATGGGGAGAAAGAGACGGGGGAGGAACCCAAATATATATATATATATATATATATATATATATATATACATATACCCTGAATTGTTATTTACAATGCTTCATCACAACTACCAGAGCACCCTCATATGTAATGGTCAACTAGAATAGTTCGCTAGCTCCACGCTGACGCCCATTGATATGGCTCTAAGTTAGTCTCCAAACAGCAAGATAATTTAATTTTAGAAATGAATGCGTTTAGACATCGTATTCTGTATTGTCAGACGACAATACCGAAACTCCTGAGAGCCACCGCCAACAGATCAGACTGAAGAAGTTTGTCTATCTGACGACTGAAGCAGTTGAGACATCAATCATCAGGGCTGATCCACTACTGTGAATCTTAGCATACTGGGCTTCCTAATTATTTTGCATATAAAAATGTGGCACGTGGCTGAAAATTAGAGGAGGAGAAAGTGTTGGTCTTCATTATCCTGTCGTTAACTTAGCTAGACACATTCACAGGCTTAAACAATCTTCATTATTCATTTCAGCATAACGTCGCATTTGAATCGTTCATGCAAGAATAACCAGAAAGTCACATTCTTTCTGTGGAAATTCTAATATCCAAATTTACTAATTTCATGTAAA